CCTGTCCATGAACTGGGAAAGAGGGTGGCTGAGGCAGCTGAGGCTTATTCCATTAGCCAGAGAATGCTTTTTCTCCTACCAAGGCAAAATCCAGAAGCTGGGCACAGTCCTCTGATCTACCCTGCACCCAGATGGCAGAGTGAAAGAGACACATGCTCTGCCAAATACTTACAGAAGCACGAAGAAATCCAAGACTCTTGGGTTCAAACCCAGGTTTGTGGAGGAAGTTCCAGCTTCTCACAATAAGACTACCTATTTTTTCTTTTGCCTTCCATCACATTCTATTCCTTGTTGCTCTGACATGTCCATGCTACTCCTGCACTCCGTTTCTTAACATCAATCCTTTTCAGTTCAAACCTTGTTTCCACTACAGTAGGTTCCTTTTTTTTCTCCTCACCTCTGTTTCTCATACTTCCAGTTCAGAGTTCAGCAAATTTTCACACTTTTCTCCATGTTCTGCTGGAGTGTCCCAACAGAAAGTTCCTGTGCCCAGCATCACAGTTGTACCTGGAGCTATGGGGACAATCCTGTTCAGCTTCCTACAGGCTTGGAGCATGGTATGTTCTTCAAGGAACATAAATAGCAAAAATAGGAACATGCTTAGGATAAATTTTCACACGAGCGTAACCCTGCCAAATTTCAACACCCATGGCAGAGAAACAACTTTTCAAGAAGCAAGAATATTCTCCAAGCAGACAAACTGTCTGCTCGTAACCTCATGCTTGGAAATTACTTAAGTGCTAGAGCTTAATCATCAGACACACTGTGTTTGGGACAGACGCCTGTTGTGGAAAATGCCAGCTAATGTAGCAAAGTTTGGTAGAGTTAGAAATTATTAATTTAACAATAGCAATAAAAGACCATTATCGGTGGCTTAATTTTAAACTCTGATGGTTGTGATAAGAAACATGATGAGAGTCACACATAAACATTGTGTTTTCAGTTGGCAATGGGGACTGAGTGCTTACAAACAGAAAAGAATGAAGACCTTGCAATCTAAACTCGACAGAGAATGAAGAATATGCCTTGTGCGGCACTGTATCAAGAACCCTGAATCTTAAAAGGCACAGACTGTGACAGTGTGAGCTACAGAGCCGTGCAGGGCTGGCACTATAGAGACCAGAAAGTTTTGGGCAGAGATGAATGTGGAAAACTCATGCTTGGTCATCCATTAGAAACTGATATTGCCATAGGAAATCCTGTCCTGTGACTATGGTCCCCTGAAGTTTGAGCTCTAGGCAGGCTGGCTCTTATCTGATGACTACTTTCTGCCTGGCCAACATTTGAAAATGGGAGGATTTTTACTTTAGGGGTTGCTTTCAAATATCAGATTTTTACTGAAAAATTGCATTGAGAGAAGTTCTTTAAAGAAGGGAATTGAAGGAAGATGTTTCTTCAATATTCAGAATAAAGGGTAACATAAACTAGAAAAACTAGAAATTAAAAAAAAAAACCTCTAAAACTAGAAATGAAAAAATGCTGTAAAATTTCCTTTAAAAAATCCAAACAAAAATATAAGAATGCAAACTTAAACCCCATATCTAGAAATGTACACCTCCATGTCTCTCAGGAGGATAAATGCAGCACTATCAGTCTGGTGTAAAAGAGGTGTAAGCAGACATAAAACCTAGTCTTCTGAGCTTAGTTTTCTTGACAAAGTGTAGTATGCCATCAAGAGACTATCTTATTCTATTACGAGAATTGGTAAGGCCTATTAGAAGTCTGTGGAAATGATCCCTAATAAAAAGTCTTCATAAAACAAGGAATTCTCTTGATTAAATTGTTATTGCATGAGTAGACATACCGTAAATGTTCAGCTCATTGTATTTGAGAAAATCATATATATAGCCCAAGATATGCCTTTTAGAAATCACGTCTTAAGGTAAAGAAGGAAAAGATCCTTTCTTCTGAAATAATTTTACTTTTTCACAAGAAAGCAGAAACATATCTATCAGAAGAAGGATTATAACAAAGCAGCTGGAACACTGGAACCTCTGTAATATATTGCACATTTTAATCATGTTTGATACAACACTCTTTATATGGATATCAATTACACTAATGACTCTTACATAATACCCCTGGGTGCCTAAGGGATGTGTATTGTCACCTCCCTTTTGTCATAAAAATAGAGAGTAGTTTTATATACACACTAAAGTACTTTCTTTCATTTTTATATAATGAATGAGTAACACTGTAAAAAAAGACATTTTATCCCATATTAGTTTAGCAAACAGAAGAGATTTCACATATGACAGTGCTAAATATACTCTTAAGCTGCTAATAAAGACAAAGCCTGAGGGGAAAAATTCTAATGATGAGCAATGCCAGAAGTTTTTATTTCTGAATCTAAAGCAAAAATGTTTCACTTAGGTATAGACTTAGAGGCATCATAGAAGAAATCATGTTTTTCAATAATTTTTATCTCTAATAAAATCACTGGAATTAATTTGAGCATCATTATAGCACTGAAAAAATGCTTTTAAAGGTACTGTTATTTGCGTAACTTCTCTGTGTGCATTTTATTGCATACTGAAAACTGAGAGGTTTCATCTGTAAATGTTCTACACTTTCCCAAGCAACTGTTTAGAAAACACTACAGACTCTGTGGTACTCTATAAAGAGCCGGCAGGACACAAGACTTATTCTCCGGAAAAGAATCAGAGAATCAAATGAAAGACTAAACCAGTTTCATCATGGATTTATGAATTTTAAAACATTCACTTCAGCATTTTCTCTCTCTGAGCTGGTGCTACCTGAAATGCTTAAAAAATTGATATATTCCCTGCCTAAAAGTTTTCCTAATGCTTACATGGGGAACACCAGTGGACAATGACAAAGGTGCTGTTAAGGTATGTAGACAAACAAGTGTGGCCTCACTAATACAGTGGTCTACCCTGGCTAATCTATCACAATGTGTTTTCCTCATCAGATCTTTGGCTTCTTTGGTAACCTTAATAATACCATTGCAACTAAATTTATCCCAATTTTTTTCTAAAGTTTAGCTGCTTATGAGATTTTTATGCATTTTTCTCTCTCCCAAAGTTCAAAGCCCTGCAATGTATCTCTCAGTAATACTAAATCCCAATTGTGAGCTGGCATTTGTGCAAAGGGGAGTCTGGTAACAGGGTAACTCTCCAGAACCATACATTGCTGTGTGATGCCCTGGAATTTGCTGTCCTTCTGCAGCCCTGTTGTTTGAAGAGTTGTTTCAATCATCCGTAAAAACTAAAGGAACCACACAGGATCCTGAATATGGCAAAGCAATTTGTATTCATGCATGTTTTCTCAATCTTAGTTTTGACCTTCTGAGACAATGTATAAAAATACATGTTGAATAGCTTCAGATGATTTTTTCATTTGTAATTATTTAACATTGATCTTGATTCAGCTATGAAAGCTGATGCCTTTCCCATTTTGAACAAAAAACTAAAACTTCAGGATATTTAAATATTAAAAAGTGGCAACTGCATATGCATAGCAAGTAACTACCTCTCTAAGATACTTCAGAAAAATTGTGTTTAGTAGAGTGTTTGTGATAAATTATGTATTTATTGTAGCAGGGTCAGAAGCTGTTACAATTTACTGTACTCGGTCAAAAATTCACTTTTATAAAAAGTACGTCAGTGTCTCAATGTACATTTAAATGAGAACTTGGATGCACCAAATACACTGATTTTCATGGGAGGCAAGTTAAACATCTGAGGTCAAATTTTGCTGTGACTTACATTGGTATAAAAAACCAAAGCACAGTCATTCTACCAACTTCCATATATTTTAGTCTTTCCTTACAGACAAAAATATTAAAAGGGAATGTGGAAGTTGGCATATATTTTTCAAGAACAAGCTATGCACTGTGTACATCGTGCTGCTGTTGTGCTAATGAGAATGCAGGAGAATGGCTTCTAACACAGCAAATGGATGAAAGCCAAGTGGCACTAAGTGAAACACTGGGTTTGCATCTTGAAGAGCAGAATTTTTAAAATTCTGTTATTCATGTGCCTGTACAAATATTATGTGATTTAAAAAAAACAGTTCTCAGTGTTAATTTTTTAATTATTATACAGTTGCTACTTTTTTAGTTCATCCTGTTGTCACTTGTAATAGCTAATGCAATTATTTGCATTAAGGTTTTCTGGAGGCATCCGTAACAAACTCTAACAAAGTTACTGCTACAGGTAACTTTAGAACTGGGATAAAGAAGAAGTTCTTAACCCACAGAACTTCCCTTTCTGTGTCCCTGTATATTTTGCCTAGGTTTTCCATAGTTATAAACTTCTGGGAAAAGAAAGGGTTTTCCTGTCTCTGCTGAGCAGTCAGCAATTACAGACTGTCAAAAGACTATCTGCAGAGCAACCCTGTTGGTAATCTATAGCTGAGTCTATACCCAGACAAAGAAACTGAAAAACTGTCCATGATACACTGGAAGCCTCAGTGGCAGCCAGCCCTTCCAGGGTGAGTGGGTGGGTGGGTGGATGGGTGGATGGATGGATGGATGGATGGATGGATGGATAAGAGAGAGAAAAAGATGCCTTGGACCACTTTTCGGTACCCATCTGACCTAGCTCACAGTTCAAGCAAATCGTGCCTTTCCTGCTTTCTAGGCTTTTCCTACTGCATTCTCATTTAGACCTAAAGTTCATCACATTTCAAGAACAAAAGTTCAAGTTTCAAATTTCATCAGGGGCCAGGATCCATACAACCATAAAAACATGCTTCTCTTTTTCTACCAAGAAGATATTAAAAAGTTGCTGATTGTTACCCATGGAATGCATTCAGAAGCCGGTAGAAAAACATAGCAGGTGATCATGTAATTAAAGGCTCTGCCATAGTGAATATGCATACACAGACAAGCATAAGTATCAACAAGGAACCTACAATCCAACAAATACTTGCCTGCAGACTCAGTACTGCAGTGTGACCACAGTGCTTTCACACTGCAAAGGTTCCATAGCCTATAAAAGTAGTGATTGCAGGGCAGTGTAGATGCTCATGAGAGCTTAAATTAGCCAGCTCCAATCTTGGTAGCTGTCTTGCTCTAGCACTTTGAAAGTGACTGCCTGCTGCAAAATCTTCATGACAGGTGGGGTTAATTGGCCCACATTAAGCCTCATGCTGCTATGGCAAGACAGCAAGAGCGCCTGTTGTAAAGTCAGCTCCCATCCATTGATCTCATACTGCTGTCGTTGCTCTGATGACCAGTCCTTATTGCGCAACTGTAATCTAGAAATACTCATTTTAGTATTATTCTTTCAAGTGGAAATTTATTTATAAAACACTTGAAACTCACTTAAGTACACAACAAATCCACATTTTCTCATTATCAGATTCTCTCACAGATAAATAATAAACAAATGGCTTCTGTGTTCAATGCATAGGCTCCCGAAACAGGTTGTCTTATTCTTCTTTTGTTCTAGACCATAATTGCTTCAACTACATTATCTTGTGTGTTAGGCAATGCTTTCTGGTGGGTTTTTTGGCTAATGGAGAATGCTGTTATACATAAAGCACAACTGGATGTCTGAAACACTGAGTATATAAGCAGTAACACACCGGAATAGGCACAAGATACTACAGTGCAGCCTTTTAAATACTGTTCAATGTGTGTGTGCACACATGCATTTGCACTGAAGTATCTCTCCTGAGAAAGAAGGACTAGCCAGTACAAATAATATACAAGTGGAGATGGAGATGAAGAGCTTTATCAAAGGGAAGAAAAATACAAAATTCTAAAGCAATTCTTAGGAGACCGCTAGAAACTTTCCTTACTAATGTGGAGGCTTTGTACTTTCCTGGAGATACAGCTCTACCTACTCTTTCCTGGGTCAGTGCAAATGAAGTTTAATTTCTGTAAGGACATGCAATTGAGAAAAAATTAAAACAAGAACGGAGTTTTCATTAGTTAGGACTTTTTAAATTTGAATTTATTGCATAACTGATTTTGGTAAATTTAAACTCATCCTTAGTCTTCTGTTGGTCTGTAAAACAGAGAGAATCAGCTTGTTTCCTTAAAACATCTGTATTGAATGAATTTGGTCACATTTACATGCTTACTCATGTTTCACATATACTCAGGCTGATAATACCACAGAAGCAACACCGACTTTATAGTACTGCTCTCACATTATACTGAAAATGCAGCAGAACTTGTGTGCTACATGTGTACTTTGGATTCCTTAGTTGTTTGATCACATTGATGAAGGGATATGCAATCAATCTCCTACTAAGACAGTGAGTAGTATTGGCCATAACTCATTACTCCATCAAAGAATTTGGCATTTCAATCGATGGGAAATGATGTGTGATCATTCTAATTTATTATACATCATTTCCCATCAATCGGTGTGCTGAAGCTTTGACATAATAAGTAGTTACAGACACTGTCAATCATTCTTGGTCAAACACCTCTGAATGCTGCCATTTGGTGCACCTTCAGCTATTCATCCAAACTGCAAATACTCATCCAAAACAGTCAGCAATCAGACTGTAACTAGAGGTACATAAAAAGACTCAAAGATCTCAAAAGCCTCCAGAAAATATGTAACTGGAAAAAAAAGACTTATAATGAAAGTGCACTGCAAAAAAAATGCATAAAAACTGAGAAAGCAAACCTCTAGTGAAACAGCATCCAGCTAGGAAAAGATTGAAAAAATGCAAGCTTCAGTATTGCACTGGATTTTGGCAGGATCATCTGCTATGCTGGCCACCTTACTGTAAGAAGGAGCTAAATTCTTCTGATTTGTGTCAGCACAATTAATTTTGTCTTCTGTGGAGTTGCATGGGCGTGTAAACCCAGGCCACACTTAATCTTTCCTCTACTGATGAGATTAGAGCTCTTGAAATCAGCCCTGAGCCTAAAACATTCGTTCCCTCTCCAAAATTCCCTTTAAAGTTCACTCTCCATAATTCTCTTTGAGGTCTCCTGTTTATTCCCCAGCAAATCCTATTAAAATTACTCCCACTATTAGTCATGATTTCAAAAACAATTATGCATTACTCAACTCTCCAACTAATACAGTAGAATCTTCTACGATTCTGTTCTGTCACTCTAAATATCAGCAGTGTCCAAAGGGTTACAGACTTTTTCTAATCCAGAAGTGTGACAACAACCACAGTCACTGTGAAGTTACTTATTACAGCAAAATAAAACATGTATTCAGTGACAATTATTCTTCTGGACTTACTTTAGGACTCCACTTGGCCACTATACCTAAGGCCACTGCCCCTTTTTTCTACCAGATCAGTATGACACTTAATAGTTAGAGGTTACTCTTTCACGGGAATGCATTAACCCATCTAGTTAAAAACATTGGTCCTCCCTTAAGAAATCACTATTCATTTTTAAACCAAGCCTGAACTTTCTTCTAGAACTTGCCTGTATTTAATCCAGTCATTGGGTATGGAATACACTGCCAACAAAGATAGATAAAGCTTTTGTGATAGCAAAACACCCAATGAAATGCTACCCTAAAATGTCACTTTCAAAGTGGCAAAATTAAGCAAAAGCTGCGTGACCAACTGCTACAGCAAGCAAGCTAACATGATTAATATAGCAAGCCCCCCTGTGATGTATTTTAGATGTCAGACTAGATGATCCAGCAGGTCAGTTCTAGCTCCACTGTGCATATTATCCCCCTCACTCTCACACATTCTTCTATGCTTTTCTGTTTCTCTCCCTACAGGAGAACTCATACCATTCCTCTAATACTCCTCATCATTTTCCCCATCTCTTTTTCTTCAAGAGGTTGTCTTGTCTTCCAGTGTGACAAATGTAAAAGCTATTGTATTGAGTTCCATATAGCAATATCTCATTATTGGTAAGCTGGTTAGGGATAGTTTGTATGAAACTGCTACATAAAAACAATACATTGAATCATCTTTCTCTCCGCCCATCCATCCTTCCTATACTCTTCATTAGATTTTTCAACCTAAAATAATGCAATACTGGACAGTTTAATGTGGCCCCTAAATTGACATGTTTATTTATTCTGTTACTATGAAATATTCTGATTTTCCTTTCAAGTCCTATTCACCAGCTGCTATAAACTCTTCCAATCCTCTTACCAGCCTCCAGCCTGATCTGCCCTGACCATGGCAGCTCCCTGAGAAAGGCAATCTTTACCCACTATTGGATCTGGAAATCTAAAAACATTAATAAAATAAGGTCAAGTTAATACTTTTTTAGAAATATGTCAGGTTTTGCATATATCAATTTTTTGACGGATTTGTTGTTGTTTTTTACGTTTCTGAGAGAGGTATCAGAGTTAGAATTTGTCAAACGAGTTTACACTCAAAGAGCAATGAATAGGCCATCCACCTGGAGACTATGTACTCACTGATAATTCTGAACTTGCAAACACCAGGATTCAGGCAGAAACCTCATTTTAAGAGTTCTAGTACCTTCTCTTTCAAATAGGGATCATAAATGTTACTACATCTAATCAACATATACAGAGTGATATCTGAAATTAGAAATTCAAATACATGCAACAATCTACTTGCCAACAATCTCTAGACCAAAAATTATTCAGATAAAGTATTTGGTGAATAATTTTGAATAGCAAATTCATTTGAGAAAATCAAAGCAGCTCACAGACAATTCACAAATGAAAAAAGTTATACATGTTAAATCATTTATTATGAACTATTTTTCATCTCTGTTCTGCTCTTTGTTTTTCCATTCCAGGCAAAGACAGCTTCAGAAGGAGCAGGATAAAAAAGCAAAAAAGAAACCCCAATTCTTTTCTTACTTGGCACATTCTAGTTATTCTTGAGTATTTACCTATTTATTGAGAAGAGAAAAAGTTAAATGTTGACCCACTCAAGAAGTAAAATGGACACCCTAGTCTAAATATTACATACAAAATTCTAGCCTGATGAGATTGGAAATGAGAGGACTACAGGCCTCCCAAACACAGGTCTCATAATTAACAGACTTTTAACTATAGCTGCATTGCCAGGTGCAAATTTAATAGAAGATTATAAATGATAGATGAACTGTATTTCCAGCAGCTGTTTCTAATCCCAAGCAAAAATCTTCATTAAGATAGCGTTAACGTCGTAAATGGTTATCTATTAATTTAAAGTATTGCAAAACATCAAACATTACTCATGTAGAACATTGTGTTGAAAGCCAAGCTAAGAAACCATGCCCTAAATAAAGTTTTAAAACATGGAGTTTTAAGTCAGACAATCCAAAGTTAGAATTAACAATGTCAAACTTTCTGCAATCTTGAACAGATTGCCCTGGGATTCAGACAAGCTCCTCAGGAGCGCTGCTAAGTGCTACCTAAATTCCAGCTGCAAGAGCAGGGTGTTGGGCTGCTGGAATTCAAGCCTGCCACGTTTTGGTAAATCCACTGACATGCAATGAAAATGTCAGCTCTGGCACTGGCTTTGCCAGAGCTCCTGATCTGAGGAAACTTCCAAGCTCAGTAAGGCAGAGTTCTAAGCACAACCAGCTCTGCTGACGTGCTCAAAAACGTAGAGAAAACTACGTATTTTCTTATATTAGTCCCTTTTATACAATTTTAAGGCAAATCAGTTTTGCAGGGAATAAAAAGAATATACTGAATATACCCAACCCTCCCCCATTAAAGGTGCAGAGACGTAGAGAGATGTGAACTCTGATCTGGAGAAGGCTCCCTTCTTGACCCACGGTATCTGAGAGTTTCTGACACCACCAGTGCCTAAAGCTCTTCTCACCTAAAGCTTTCACCCTGTTCATAGAGCTCCAACCTCAGAAATACAACGAATGGAACATCCCTATTTTCTCCAAAATTTACCCCACAGTGAGCTATGTCAAACAGCCATTATGTTGTACTTTGTGGCCAGGCGTTTTACAATCCCTCAGCAAGAAAAGCAGTACACAGGAACACTTCCACCACACCCAGACCTGCTCATCAAATTAGGGGGAAAAAAAAAAGAGGTAATCTATGTATTGTTTTTATTCAATGTATTCTGTGCAGGCCTTCCAAGAAGACAGAACCCATTGGAAAAATTCTCCAAAGACCTTTTCTCAATAAGAGCTACAGAGAAAGTTTTAAGATTAACCTATATAATTCACATCTTAATTCACATTTTTATTTTAGTACATTTCTAACTGGAAAAAAAGAGACCACCAAGCTGCAAGATAAGCTCTAGATTTAGAAAATCTACTAGGTACAATTAGCTAAACAGTCTAACAGATGCCTAGTAATGATTATTACTTATATGTGTAGAAATTCCTAGATAAAGCTACCGTAAATAT